TTGCTGGCAGTTTGTGCAGCCTTCTGGTCACCCAGGGCTTGGCTTTGTCCACCGGAGGATGCAATATAAATTGCCAGCTAAAACAGCTCGCGCATCGCTCCGGGTCCGACGAAGCACGGTCGCAGAAAGATATTTCGACTCTATCGTCTCGCTTTGTCGTATTGGACATTGACCTCACGGTTGACCAAAGCTTACTCACATCAGAGGTGAAGTTGAAAGTCTTCAGATGCTCTTCCCACCTTTTCCGCTTTTGTGCGCCCACAAGTTGCCGAATACGGGTATTTCCGGGATCGGCCTGACGATGGTTGTCACGCTCATCAGCTAGAACAGCCGCTTCAGCAGGAAAGTTTGGACGGGGGTCCGTTATGCAACTTGATGGTACGAAGCGAGCTGCAGCAGCAGTGTCAACCCTGCGGAACTTACGTTCACCACGGTGGACGCCGGTTGGTGTGGGGAGGGCAGCGAAGATGCTTTCAGTAAATTCCGCGAAGCATTTCCAATAAGCTTTGGTAAAGTTGATATAGGTCCGGTGTTCCGCGGAAGCGAAGTCGGCAGGTTTATCGATCGAGATGACTATGGCCAGATGGTCTGCTGCCAAGGTCAGCATAGGTCGCCATGATATGCTGTTTATCAGACCAGCGCTGACAATTGTTATGTCTGGCGAGCTGCAGCAGCTGCCCATAATCTTGGTGGGTGCATCGTCGTTCATTGTGCAGAATGTCGAATCGTCTATCTGCTCAGCCAAGTGTTTTCCCCTACGATCATTTGACAGGCTTGAATGTCAAAGATCGTGGTGCGCATTAAAGTCGCCAACTACCATACGGTTTTCACCTCTGAGGAGCGCACCTATTTAAGTGTGATATCCTGCCGGGTATGTAAACGTTAAATATCCGAGCCGCCCTGTGGTGGTAGCGGGTGGCGTCACAATTACAGCTTGCGACCGTGCAGCGCAACACGGGTCTCGAAGTTCCTCGTCCAATCTCGCGTAGTGCGCAAACCTGAGCATGCCCTGAAGTGGCACCAGCCAAGGCAGGTGTTGCACTTAACTAACACATACGACGTGGTCCACTGCCGATGTGTCTGTAATCCTGAGCAGACTCTAAGGTGACTCCACCCCTCGCAGGCATTACACTTGACTAAGGAGGAGTTGTGGTGTAGTCGTCTCTGGCATACACAGCAGGTGTAGGTTTCTGGCCCTGGGTTTGACTCGATGCCAGCCCTTAGCAGAAGAATACGCAGCAAATGTAGCCCTATGGACGAACAACTTCTGAGATACTTTGCCGACCTAAACGGGGTTAGATCGCCGAAACAACAGCCCTTGGTCGGGTAAAACCCGAGTCATTCCGGTACGTAAAACCGGCTGTCGTGGGAATGTGTTAAAACTTTTCAAAAATGGGAGCGGCTAAATTTTTTCGACCACTGTATATGAATAAACACTACAACGGGCTACACTGTCCGCGAAAAAAGGAACCCCCTTATTATGAATTTCCATACGATAGACGATAAACGCAGTGGTTTTTGTTTACTTTTTAATATGAACTAACGCAAAGAGGCTACGCTAAGACATTGTCTCGTAGTTAAAGTGAAAATAAAATCGACTCTTAAATTGAAAGCAGCTTTTTGACACATTATCCAATTGGATATGTGTCAAAAAAGCTGCTTCTAACTTTAGACTCGACTTTATTTTGATTATAACTATGGGCCATTGATTCGTTATATGGGATAACAGAATGCGTTTATGGTGTATCCTATGAATTCGGGTTGGGGTACAAAACTATTATGGTTCAATATTCTGTATTTAAAATTCGGTATTCAAAACTCTGTATTTTAATATTCTGTATTGCAAAATTCTGTATGGAAAAATAGGAACAGTGTGCACTTGTTTTATTTATCCATATGGTTTTCCGATTTTTCCATACAGAATTTCGTAAAGCAAAATTTTGGAAATACACTTATTTTCTTTATCTATAGGTCTTCCGATCTTCCCCATACAGAATTCCGTAGAGCAAATATACATATACATAGTTTATACTAACGTAATAGTATGTTCAGACAGGCCGCTAACAGAGCAATTAGCCAAGCTTTCTCGATCAAGTCGCTAATTGAGCTCGATTTACCCCTTAAAAAATTTCAATTCTTAATTGCTCGATTAATAAAAAATTTACTGCTAATTAAATGAATTTCTTCATGCAACCCTGCTGGGTATATTTAATTTTGATCAGCTGTTCGTTTCTGGTCCCCTTAAACAGCTGATATTCCATCATGAATGGAAATTTAAATTTTCAAATTGTACCCAATCTGCGGAGAAACTTTATCTAAAAGTAGATAAATATACCTAAAAAGTAAATATGTAGTTTTATAAATATATATTAATGAACATAAGAGGATAACCTTTCCCAGCGATACCATATCAACTTATGGACTCACATTAAACAAATTTGGCTATAAAAAGAATTTCTTCGAGCAGTTCGAGACAAAGCTATATTTTCGAAAAGGTGAATCGCTTTCCTCCGAGTTCTTCGATCTGACGTTTAACAAGAAATATTCTCTGTCTTTCTGGCGCATTCAACTACAGTTAATTTACTTTGATCACCATTTTCTATCATTTGTATGCCCCTCCACAAAGGGGGGAGGCTATGGACAAGCTACCCACACCAGAAAATGCGTTGAAATGTGAATAAAAATAAGAACTGAATTCCTGAAAACTTATTCGACTAGTTCAAAATGTACCTAAAATGGCGAGCTTGTACCGAATGCACTTTCAAACTATATGAAGGTACGATTGTACCAACTTTTCCATCGCTTTAGCTAATCGAGCAGCTGAATGTGTGTGTCCACGAAAAAGCGGCAGCTCAATTAAAAGATTAAATGACTCAATTAAATTGCTGTCTGAACTTAGTAAAATGTTCTAAATTGTAACTAATGATAGTTTCAGAAACAGTTAAAATTTATATTTTTGTTTAGAAAAAGGTTCAGGAGTATGGCATAAATTCATGTTTCGCTTTACAAATTATAATGTTAAAAAGCCTGCCTTTGTGCCTCGATGAAATCTCTGAGTACTGAGAGTTTTATAAAACTCTTGAAGATGCATAAACAAAAAAATGTTGTTTGTGGTTTGAAAAAAATTACACCGACCCCTATTTGCGATTTTATCGTAAGGGACAAAAGGTAAATTTATATATAAAGGTAAAATGGCGGTTACGGTATTTTTCCTGAACACGCTGAGAGGTAAGTTATCAAAGAATTGGCGCTTGCGATAGTTTTTATGTTGTATAATCTGGACATTTATAAACGAAGGAGGGTACTTTAAGCATTGTTGAAAATACTGAACTTTAAGTCAATTAAATATAAACACTACCAATCAGCAAAATTGTCCACAAGTTTTCTTCGTAGATGCAGTGTTAAGGCTCATTCAATGCTCTAACAAACATCTAAAACGACCACAATGGCGCTACTATTTGGCGTTTTTGACGTTTTTTTAAAAGAATGATAAAATTTAATACTTGACCAGAAAGGTTCAGAGCCAAAATCTTCATATTAGGGAGATTTTTGGCAAGTTTAGAAATCAGTTATATTTCTCAACTCGTCTTGTTTTAAACCTAGTTATTGGAGAAAAAATTGATAAACGAAGACTTTTAATCTATATTAATATCAAAGATTGCGATTTCATAAAAAGAAGGCTGAACTGCAAAAGTTATAATAAGTAAAAGCTTTTACATCTTATAACCTCTTGGCAAAGCAAGAGTTTCAAAAAAGACCCCGCAGCTGCAATTGCATAATGGCAGATGGGACTTCGGTTAAAACTACAGTTCATATTGCTATTTACTATAAAGTTCTTCATGCACAGTGCCGCTTACGATAAAATTGTAGGAACACAAAAGTGTAAACAAAGCGAACGATAAAATTCATTTCGCTTTTTTCCTGTAACGGTACATACTAAAAGTCTGTGATTTTATAGGACCTTGTTACTAGTATTTGCAACCTATTTGCATCAAAAAATAATAATTGTCGATAATTTATTGCTTACGATTAAATCCCAAATAGGGGTCGACATATTTGGAGACAAATCTCAACCAAAATATTCACCAAAATTTTGGTCAGTGCACGATGAGTCAACAAGTATCCCTTTTCCTAGAACACAAAACAATGTTGAGGCTTTGCATCATCGGCTAAAAGTTATCGTTGGGAAAAGAAATTTGGCGTTGTGAAAACCTTAGAATGGTTTAAGAGGCGAGATGGTTTATGCGAAAGCTCAACTCGCGACAATTCAAAATAGCCAAAAAATAACCCAAAAGATAAAAGCTGTAAAAGGATATAGAAAAATTAAAAAAATAATGGAAGAAGACTATACTAAGTCATATTTGTTTTCTAAAAAACAATTGCTAAAAATTTAATTGTATATTAACTTCTTTTGTCCATTATTTTTTGTTTAAGAAGAGAATAAGATTGGTTTAATTTATATATTAAAAACGTTAATGGTAAAAGTATATTTTTAAAACAAGCTTTCTTAGTATGAAGCAAATTGGACCATAAATATTGGTTTCCTAAATATCTCCCTGCTGAGCCACCTAGCGGCATCTTTCATATTGCATTGCCATTGGGTTAGGAGCTAAGTTTGAAGTTTCAAGTTTCAAGTCTCTAGCTCATCGGGAAGTTGGTGAAATATTGATTGCGAAACTCTAGGACATATGTACATACATACATGCAAGTGAAGCTAAATTAAAGTTTGTAAAAAACACAGAATTTTGGCCCAAAATAATTTTCGACTCACAATTTTAGTTCTACATCATTTGGTTCTTACAGAATTTTGGAACACAGAATTTTTAACCGAAAAAATGTTAGCTGCAAAGAAATTTTTCAAGATTTTTCCAGAAGCATTGACCGAATGATTTTTGAAAAGAAGAATTTACTACCACTCCCTATGAATTCATATTAGGGGGGTAAGATACCGATAGCACTTTAGATAAAAAATATTTTACAAGTAATTGTTTAATACCCACCTGTCGTTTTTCATTGAGCTCACATTTATTGCCCAATAGCATCTTTTCTACGTCAGCGGAAGCATTTTCTTCTATATTCCGGATCCAATTTTTAATATTTTCGAAGGATTTCTCTTGCGTAATATCGTAAACCAACATGATACCCATGGCCCCTCTATAATAAGCAGTAGTTATTGTGCGAAAACGTTCTTGACCTGCGGTGTCCCTAAAAATGAAGTATTACTGAATATACATAGATTCAATGTATCGCATATATTACCATATTTGAAGCTTGATTTTTTTGCCATCTAACTCAATTGTTCTTATTTTAAAGTCGATACCTAAAAAAAAACAGTTGTTCAAAAGTAGCATTTGATATAAAACGTGAAAATACAGTGTTGTGCAAAACAAAAGCAGCGAATTTTGTATACTTCATGTTATTGCTGTATTTCTTTAAATAAACAGTTTTACAAAAATTGTATGATACATTCTTAAATACCCTGAAGTCCTCTTAAATAAATGTGTTTCAATTGCCACTTCTTCGCGAAAACCTCTGCATTAAAGAACAAAATCTGGGACATACTAGCGATGCCAGATCAAAATAAAAAAACTTAACTTACTTAATTTTTACAAAGAAACCAAACACGACTTTTATTGTATTTTTAAAGCATACATACATTTTTCATAACGGTTTTAATATCCTGATTTATTCAAAAGCTATCAAGTAGCCAACAATTCGTAAATACTTTGGAAAAAAAACACAATGAAAAAAAGTATGCCAATATATGTAATGGTAAAAATGTTTCTTTTTCACTTACATATGTGCAGCATTTTGAAAAAAATTTACATTTGCAATCCGGAGTTTTATAAACGTAATGCCCAACATAGTCATTAAAATTTTTGTAATTTAATGCTTTGTAGAATTTTTTTTTTTTACTTATTTTGGATCACAAGTCAGAAAAAATGTTATGGTTTTCTTCGAAAATAACCACTATTTAAAAGTGAATAATTGTAAGATATGTATGTGAATAATGAGCACTAGTGTTGTATAACATGTAAGGAGAAATAAGTACTAAAGTAAGATACATATGGGTCATTCCATACAATATTTACACATCAATATTTTTTTTGGAGTGAAATATATTTTTTTACATTATTTATCGAAAAAAGACACCTATTTTTTGATTTCGTCATGATATTCGAAAATCTCGAAATAAAAATTCCCGAAATTTTGAAATCACGGGGAAGTAACTTTTTTTAATTGTTTGCAGTTAATAAACTATTTGTCGGAGCAAATCAGTTAAGGTATCAAAATGTCCGTAATTACCACGGCTTTCCATAAGAGTGTGAGATAGATTAAAATAACAAATAGTAGTAGGTTGAATAAGGAAATGGATTAGCGACAAAAAGCTTACGGGGTGAGCATAATAGCTCAGTGGTTAGCGCTTCTGACTTTGCACATCGATGACGCGGGTTCGATCCCTGCTGAAAGTCTAGAAAAAAAGAAGTCTGATGAGGAGATAACTTCTACCCCTTAAGCATTGTTGTTTTTTCCATTTTTCCTAACAAACAAATCGCGGTACAAAGCTCAATAAAACTATTGAAATAAATATGAATACGCCACAATAAAAATTGACAAATAAATATATAGAAGGAGCCTGCCCTAAAAACTATGCAATGAATCTATTTCATGTATGGAATTAACAATAACAACCACGCTGTCAAGCTCTAATAGCGGCAAATCAGCTTATGGCAATGGAAAGCTTATGGGGTGTGCATAGCTCAGTGGTTAGCGCTTCTAACTTTGCACATCGATGACGCGGGTTCGATCCCCACTGAAAGTCTTAAAAAAAAGAAGTCTGATGAGAAGATGTGGTGATCTCCGAAATAGCTGCTATAACTACTACCGCTAAAGCACTGTTGTTTTTCCCATTTTCCCTAACAAACAAATCATGGTACAAAGCTCAATAACACTATTGAAATAAAGGCTGCATTTCTTTATTCATTCTGAACGTTTGGAATAAACTTTTTTGTTTATTTATTCTTTAGAACGTTCCTGATGATATATTAACGTATATTTCAAACGTATTCTGTTTATTCCGGCTGTGAAATGGTATTATCCGGAATGTATAAAGAAACGCAGCCAAAATAAAAAATTACTTGCATTAAAAAATCGTTTTTTTTTAATTTTTTTTTATTAACTTCATCATGTTTAATTTTAATTTTTTTCAACCTGAATAGTTGTCTCTTTCGCGTATTGTATAATTGGCGACGAGGATAAACCAAAGTGTCGAGAAATTTCTTCTGCACATGGCAATTGAATACATTCAGACTCTATAGAAAAATGATAGCTTCCTTGGCAAAAACAAAGAATGTCACGTGAAATTAAAGGAACATCGTGGATCCAGACATTGAAAAAATACCAGTTGGAACAACTGTGTTAAATAAACTTAATCGAATATGAACCAGAAAAGGATAATATAAACGATTTACGAAAAATTTAATAGTACTACCTGTCATAGTGGCTAAAAAAATATTCAACATTAAAGAAGAAACTGTGAAAAGTGAAGTGAAAATGGAACGCTCTGCAAATTTAGATTTTGATATTCCTAAAATCGATTGGGAAATGTTTATAGACAGATTAGACCAATACTTCATTGCAAATAAAGTGAATGCAGAAACTTATCGAAAAAATTGCTAAAATATGTAAACCTAATAAACCTAAAGAAAGAACTCATGACGAAATTATGAAACAAGTAACATACAGTATTTAGTTTACCGATACGAGTTTCGTCAGAGAAAAAACTGGAAAGTGAAAGTATAACAGAATATGTAACAACTTTAAAAGTTATGGCCGATAAGTGTAAATTTACGGATATAGATGAACAAGTCCTCGATCAAACGATATGCGGTTTAAAAATTGTAACTATAATACCGGAATTATTAAAATTAGATGGAAGTACCATTCAAAAAAGCACTAGCGTCGGACGGAGCCAATAAACATTGCAAGAAGCAAGTAGCGAGAACCAAGACGTGCACATGTTGAGCTATGGAAAGTCTCCACGTAATGGAACTATCGACTATGGATGACAAGCGCAGGGATCGTCGAGAGGTAGAGGAAATCGCGGGACAACACACCAACGCCTACAGCAGCGTACGAGTGAGAGTCGGCAGCAAGCATCGAGCGAGTGGTAGAGCATTCAGCATCTACTCGTAGCTGTTACCGTTGCGGCGATTCTCGACATTTTGTTTTGTTTGTTTTGTTGTATATAGTAAAAATGTAATATGTTAAGAGTGCGGCGGTATTAGACATACCAATCGAGCTTGCAAAGATAAGAATGCTGATCAAAAGCAGAGAATCAATTATGTGAATGAAATCAGTAATAGTAGTTCAGACGAAGAAATTTCGCGCGAATTAAAATATATGTACCTTGATAATAAACGGAGTTTGTATAGGGCAGGGGTGGGCAAGGCCGAGGCCGAAAACAGCCACATGTAAATTCTAAATGCTACAAAGACCCACAAAGGACAAAACAAAAAACAAAATTTTATTTTTAAATAAAGTTGTTATTAGAAATGAAATACATTAATTTTATTATTCTAATGTGCATAAGATAGATATTAAAGAAAATCAAAAATATCCATTTGCCCAAATTTTCAAAACCTGGTTTTACGTCAGTCAAAGCTGTTCGTAACAGTTCTGTGAAATATTGGTTAGTCAATAGGTACGTTCGTTAAAAATCTACAGTAAAAAAATGTCCAACAGCGAAATTCCGGTGAAATGTCATCGGTTCTCTCACAAGAGAAAAATATCCAAAATAGTACGCGAACAGAAAATTTGCAAAAACTTGCAAGTTAAACGAGCAGCTGATAGAAATTTTGTTTACATTCAAAAGTATAAAATTGAAAACGTAAGAAGACAAATCCCAAAGTCTTATCCTGACACAGTTCACTGACTAAACCAGAGGTTACCAAACTTTTTTCCCTTAAAAACTTTAATGGTTTAGGTGGACCCAAGGTTCGCAAAGATCGTTAAAAATGTGAGGATTAACCCTGGCATTCAGTAAGCGGTCTCTATTCACTAATAGTGACTTTTGATGGTGAACTCGGATTTTGAGACTATTTGGTATTCAGTTTAAAGATTATGTACAAAAAAAATAAAAGTGACCAAAACAAGTAAGAAAGTCTAAGTTCGGGCGGAGCCGAACATTAAATACCCGGCGCAAGTATTAAATATATAATTTTCTCCTTTCCGAAAGCTACCGCTACATGGTAAGCCGGGTGTATCAATTTTGAGTAAGTTAGCGTCCTTAAATTTCGAAACATTGAAGTTTCAAGCATTGCTGAAATTTACCGTTCATGAAAAGTGGCCTCAATTTTAGTCCGATTTCAATAACGTTCAACGTTTTGCTTTTATGTGGCAAGCACAATAACCATACCGAGTTTGGTACAAATTGGTAGCACGGTTACCGAGATACATACATATATGTGATCATAAGCCAAGGCCAATAACTGTGCCAAAATTTTCCAAAGTTTTATCATGAACGTATTTCTTGGTAAAGAATTGTTGCAAGCATAAATTTTGAATAAATTAGCTTTAATATTTACTGATTTATCGAAGATTTCGTATTTCTCCAAATTACCGTTTTATGGGATGTGGGCGTGGTTATCGCCCGATTTTAAAAAATTTCGGCCATTTGGTATGCTCTAGCAAGGCAAACAACTGTGCCAAGTTTGAAAGAAATTGGTGTAGCGGTTCCTAAGATATACACACGTAACCATAGATTGGCGTGGCTACGCCCATTTGCGAAAAATTTATAATATTCTTATTTTTCGTCTAAAAATGATTTTAAATATCAATTTTGCGTGAATAATCTTCAGTAGTTACTTAAATATGCAGTTTACGTATTTCTGAAAACTACCGTCATATGGGAGGTAGGCGTGATTATTTTCCGATTTTGCCCATGTCAATACCATCCGTCCTACACCTGAAAGTGCACGTACAAAGTTTCGTTAAGATATCTCAATTTTTACTCGAGTTATCGTGTGCACAGACGGACGGACGGACAGACAGTCACCTCTTAATCGATTTCTCTTTTCATTCTGGTCATTCATGTATACATTTGTCTATATCTATCTTGATTCGTTTTGCCTGTTACAAACAACCGTTATGTGAAAAACGTTATAACAGCCCTTGGGCACAAGTGCGCTCTGGTATAAAAATACTAAATACAAAAAATCAAAAAATCCTCTGCGCCCGAGGAGGACTCGAACCAGGATCTCTCGACCGGCAGCTTAAGGCTTTGACAACTCGGCCACTGCGGGCNAAACGTTATAACAGCCCTTGGGCACAAGTGCACTCTGGTATAAAA